GAAGAAGAAGAAGAAGAAGAAGAAGAAGAAGAAGAAGAAGAAGAAGAAGAAGAAGAAGAAGAAGAAGAAGAAGAAGAAGAAGAAGAAGAAGAAGAAGAAGAAGAAGAAGAAGAAGAAGAAGAAGATTCATGACAATTTTAGGTTCATGACAATTCATTGAATTTATTTGAAAAGTAAAACTTAAATATTGTATTCTATTTTTACATTATATTTAACATGACTTTAACATTTGCAATGTTTTGATAGGAAAAGTTTGGATTAGGGGACTATTTGAAGCGTCGGCAGTGCAGTTGGCGCTTGACCGGATCATATTTTACATATCCAGGTACGATCTCCGCTATATAGTAATGAGTTCTTCGAATTTCATGATAACCTCCATCAGACATTCTTACTGTAATTACAAATTGCATTCAACTGCATAGAAATTCAAAGATATGCGAGAAGTCGCATTCTTGAGGGTAGGCTCCGAGCTCCTCAGTGGAGTATAGTGTGTCCGTATAGTGAGCTTCATGATGACGATTTGTTTTGCTTCAATGCATATTGTCTTGTTAGCAATTTTCTAAATATTTTACCAACAGAGAGGAGCTAATCTCTTTCCAGTGTTATTCTATTTCTCAAGACAAGAGTGGCACTACTACTCCAGTTCTATCAGAAAATATGATCTATCAAATAAACAAACTGGAACAAATAAGCATTTATCAAAGTTGGGGTATTTTGTTGGTGAACTAAACAATAATGGTATTATTACGAAAGCAATGAGCATTATGTTGCGTTCTTAAAATATGTTCGCTTTAGTCAGAAGATTAAATAAAGTTGCAATTAACGAAATTGTTTTATTTTTCCAAAATTGTTTTCCCTCGAATAATACTTTCAAACGTCAAAAAGGAAATTGACAGATTGATTTTTTTAGGTTGGTAGCAACGTAGACTTGTTCATAATATTGCTAGCATTGAAAATGTCAATTTTTATTCTCCGTTTGTGTATCTAATTAGTCAAGAGTCCCGTCTCTTATTTTATATACTCTTTGGATACCATGCCTTTTTTTTCTTTAAACAATTAATTTGGTAATAAAAAATTAAAATGAGATAAAATTGTGTTTCCCTCATTTGTCTGGTGACCCACAAGTAAAATGCATTGTTTTCTTTATAAAAGTTTCTGAAATACATTTATAAATTTTGAATATTCATTGATGTTTTTGTTTATTATTTCCCTACAAAATCGTTAAATTGAATAACATGTAATATTATTTTAATTACATTAGAATTCAACGATTTAGTACCTTTACGTCATTTAATTTTAGCCAAAAGTTAACATATCGAAACTGTGTTCAGATTGAAAATTTTGGAATCTGTTCTCAATGTAACCATAGAGTCAAGGAGTCTGTGATGTTTATGGTTTTAAAAACATAAAGGACGCGAAATTTTATTTTTGTTTTATAAATTGTTAATATTGATGATCGCGATAATTTCTCTTTATCTTTTAATGTACTAAGCGAACATCAATATAATAAAGGCTAACATAAGATGAATTCATCAATATCTACCGATTTACCACGGCAGCACTTGGCATTGTTAGCTGCGAATTGTTTGAGTAGGTTATTTCAAAATTCGAAGTATGTCTTTCTTTCGTTTGTTTAGTATTTTTGACAGTAAAGTTGTGTGTTTTTATTTCAGAAGACATTGCGGAAAATACTAAAAACATTAGTGCACAGCAAAGAGAGCTTTTGGAACTTAATCTATCAATAACAACGTATATTGAAGAAAGTAAAATTCGTCTAAAAGCTCTTCGTTTAGAATTGGCCAACCGAGCTAATAGTTCCATCAAAGTTGCTGAGATACTGTCGGAGAGAGGTAAGTTCAACAAACAAACATTCATAACTGAATAATCTGTTTTGCTAAATACCAAAACCCATTTGATCTCATCTGTCACATGGCATTGATTTAAAATAATCTAATATTCAGATTTTGTACTGATCTGTAGTTTAAAACCCAATCGAAGATGTCAAGAGTTTTTATATGTGTATCAGATGACGGGTTAAGTTTTATAATCAATTTGGATCATATTTACTTTTTTACCAATAAAAGTACAAAAATTTTTGGTTATAATTAAAAAATACACATATCTTGTATTTTACAGACTAAATATGTCACAATCACCTACAACTCCGCGCAAGCAAAGTAAAACAAGACGATTATCAACAAAACTAATTAAAGAAGACAATAATAACACAAACTCCAAACATTCTAAAAGACAAAATGCCAGAACATTTGTAGCGTGGTACAAACGCATGATAGATGATGATAGACAGAACTTAGCATTGTATTTATCTGATGATGCAACACTGGAATGGTTTGGAAGGACAATAAAGAGCAGGAAAAAGGTTACTGCATTCCTACGGTATGACATGCAATGTTCGAGACATGATTTCAGAAGTGTTGATTGTATAGACCACATACCACAGAGATATGAACCAATATTAAGGTTTGTAAAAATGTACTTATCAATCCTATCCCATTTCTTATTCTTAATAAACTGAGTTATCATCAATTATTTAGTTTTCTTTTAATAACTCCTTTGAAAGTAGCAGTACTTTATTATTTTTTTTGCACTCATTGTTATCCCAACATTAAGAAACTTTTTTTCCCTACATTGCTCATTATTTACAGAGTAAAATAGTATTTCAACAAACAGTTTGTCAGCAAAATGTATAATCTTTTTCAGAAGAAATGAAACAGCTCTAGCAAGTCCATTTGAAAACTCACCGGAAATTTGTAAATCGGGACCAGAGAGAGGTACGAAACGTTTATTACGATCCAATTCTAACAGTCCGGAGTGGGCCGAAAACTGCGGGCCAGATAGTGATGTAAAACCTACTGAAGGAAAGCGATTAAAGAATAATCACGTACAATTAAGTAATGAAAGTGAAATAGATGTTAAATTAAGTACTGAAAAAGATTTGCTTAAGGATGAATGTTTAGGTGTTAGTAATAAGGGTGATTTTGCATTTATTAAGCGAGCAGTGAAACGGAAGTGTTGTACTGTAACACCTCCAAATTTAGAAGTAGGTCAAGGTGATTGCCTTCCTTCCACTAGTGGTACGGACTCCGATAGGTCACATGATACTTTGAATGCCCAATTGCCAAGGTTAGCGGTAGAATGCGATGGCTTTATAGAGTTTAATAGAACAAGAAATCATAGCATAGATTCTGTAAAATGGGAACGGAAATGTAAAGTTCAAATATCATATTCCGAAGATCCATTAAATGTTGGAGAATACATAATTTGGAATATTCGGTATAATGATGAAACTAAATGTAGGCGAAATCTTTTGGCTGCATTTGAAGAAATTGCTAAAGAAGAAGAGTTGAAAAAGATTGATGTATGAATTATGGTTAAATATTTTATATACAAATTGCCTCATGTCTAGCAACTAGCTAATTATACAACTGTTGAAGAAATATTTATTACAGTAATATGAAATAGATATAATTCAAATATCTTCATAGGAGAACTTAAAATATGTAAGTTTTAAACAATCTCATTTACAATATATTTTATAACATAAGATTTGGAATACCCATGGACCAAATAAAAAAGTTGGAGATCTAAAGTATGAAATTATTACTTTCGATGATAGAGTAAAAATAATCCAGTGAAAAAAGAATTGTCTGTGTTTATATGCCAACACAATCTCTATGGATCATTATGATGATTGTAAGTTATCTATGGTAGTAATATTTGATGAAATTATTGCTTCATTTCCACTTTCCAGTAAATTAGTGTGTAACCATGTGATACTTTAGTAAGTAGAATATAATATACATTGTATTTTTGATATCTTTGTAGATATTTTTTAATGTTATGACAAAACAATACCTTTAGGTATTATGAAATTTATAGTTAAACTATACATATGTTTTATATGACCATGAGTTTAAATTGTCAAAACTTACATTCCCATTGAAAAAACAGATATGTTTTTGTAAAAGGTTTTTTGCAGTGTAAACGGTTATAGGTTTAATATACAAATTAAGTTATACATCTGATCGTGGGAGACTGAGGCCAAAATCTCCATATAAAACATATTATCCCTGTCATTAACTTTGACAAAACAGAGATAACAATATGTTTTAACCCTTTAACTTGTAGAAGCAATTTTGTGTCTCCGTAAAATAAAAACTGGGTTTTTTTTTCTTTAATAAAAGTTATTACTTTTATTAAAGAAAAAAAAAACAATCATATTTAGTGGAAGAAAAAAAAACATGGTGGCAATATCGTTGCCAACACCATTATGAGCTGTGTTAAATTCTATTCATGGATTATCCTCTTGCAGTTGGTGAAATATCGTCACTAAGTTTTAAGGTATTGGTGCTACAAAGTGGAAAAAATTATAAAAATGTTGGTGGCACACATATTGCCACCACCAGCAAAGGGTTAAATGGGGTTTTTGGTCTCAGACTAATGTCACATTCTTTTAATTACTTTTCGGTAATAAAATTACAATTATGAAATAGTTTATTCCAGAAGCAATAACGGTAATAAGTTGATTTTTGTTATGACGATTATATCTGGATTAGCATTTACAGTTTTCTTTGCCTAAGTTGTGCTTAACAATATAATTTTTATTATTTATTTTACAGCTGCATAAGATTATTTCCTATTTTATTATTTCAGCTATGCATGTATTTCCTATGTGAATAATTTTAATTTATAGTAAAATATTTCTGTATCATGTTTTGTTATCTGTGGAAAAAACCACCGATTAATGATTTGTCTACTTTGTTCTAAGTGAGTTTTGCATTCATATAGTTGAACAAGAATAATTGAGCCGGTGAGAGGAGTTGCTGTCTTGGTTAGTTCTGTCAGAAAATGTATAAAACTTACATGGGCATATAATATGGCATAAACAAAGCATGACATGACAGCTACAGTATGAAAGGGATCTTGACACTTTTTTGACATTTACAAAAGGGCAGTAGTGAGCTGTCATGTTTAATTTGATCTTTGTAGGCCTATAACTGGCTAACCTGGAACTTAATTGGTCTATGATACAAAATAAACATTTTACATAAGAAACGAAACGCGTTCAAAGTCATTATATACTTATAAGTATATGTTTAAACATTTATATGGTAGTAGATTAGAATAAATAGATGTAGCTCGGATTTATTTATAATTTTTTTGATGAAGCCAAATATGTTACATAGACCACTTTAGTTCCAGGTTAGTCAACTGATTATCTGTATATGTTATATATACAGTTGCTCGAACACATATAAAACTTTCCGCCGACATTGATTCTCATTTCTTAGTTTACGTTTCAATGAAGGTGAAATGTAATGATTTATATTTTAAATGTTTCAAAGTTTTTATGTACACATTGAAGGTGTAATAATTTTTTATTTAAGATTTACATAAGATTTTGATTTCTCGATTACTCAAATGTAATTAAATTCGTTTAAGATTATAATTGTGTTACGTATTTTAAGTTTATTATGTTACGGACATTACTTATGAAGTGATGGAGTTGAGGTAGATTTTTGTTCGAATATGCTAGAGACGATTAAGCTGAATAAATATTTTTAGAAAGTACAAGCAGTATTTTCCTTTAATCTCGTGATCCTGGTACAATTTGGCATGTTGCGAGTAGATATTCTCATTGTATTAACTCAAGCGTTAGTTATTAAACTAAGAATAACGTTAGTATTGCAACCCAATTACATCGCTACTTGTCCAAATTTCCGTCCGCGCTGAATTAAAAAAAACAATATTTAGGGAGATGAAAAATAGATGTCCGATTCTCAGACTTACTCAAAATGCTCACAAATTTCATGAGAATCAGTCGAGCCGTTTCGGAGGAGTATGGGAACGAAAATTGTGTCACGAGAATTTTATATATAAGACTAGCTATAGCCCGCGATTTCATCTGCGCAGAACAAATTAGTATCTTATATTAACGTATATATCAGGTACTTCCAGTGAAAGTCCCGTCAAAATCGATACAGCTGATTCGGAGATATCCCGAACAAACGCAGATTACCGGACATAGACAAGTTAAAAAAATTCGTTATAAGCGACGCAAATACATTGTTTGCAAAATATAATATTTATTATTATGTTATTACATACAGACACTCCAATTTTATCGATCGCATAAACATGGTGTTTGTGCACATTAAAATTAATTCAACTACTTTTTTCTGGCTTATATTATCCTCGTAATATTTATAGCATCAGTTATGACCGATATATCACAATGTGTGTCATTTGCGATAAGAATATTGTCGATCAATAAGTATTTCAGTTAATAAGATAAAAAAAAAACTACAAAATAATTCTGTACATTACTTTATTTCTTCCATACTCAATACACAAATAGGCACAAAAGTACACAAAATTACAAAATACATATTATGCCATCAACAGAATTAAAACATTTAAACAGAAGATAAAACAAGCTACAGTTAAAAAGTATTAAACAGACAAATAACTAAAGAATCTGTAAATATGAGACAAATATTATATTATTTAACTTAGCAGTTGACCACCTATAACGGTTGCCACAAGATATAATTGGATAGGTAAGAAAATTATTCATTCTTCAATCTACCTTCTACTTCCTTAAAAGAATTAAGAGAACTAAAAAATATTACAACGCTTTGTTCAATGACTCGTAGACATGGGTTTGCATAAGTCATCTTAAATTTGGATCTTATAATTGTGGTAATTGATGGGTGAGGCCTACATCCAGCAGTGGATAAATCTAGGCCGATTACAATGATGAATACCAACAAATATAAAATTATATAATATATAGCTTAGCTTCGGTAATTTTCAAGTTTGTAACAAAGTAAATTTTTTACGAATAAAAAAACACAAAGTTAGAGTATTGCACATAATTTGAAACATTATATACTATTAATAACTATGTGTATTAAGCATAGAAGCAAATATATAACTGTCAGATCTAAATACATTGTGGCACCATGATGGCAACATCTTAATATTAAATTTCTAAATACAATACCTAATTATAGTCATTAAAATGTTATTCAATTTATATGATTACAAATAATTCGCCGACAATTTAAAAAAGAAAACGCACAGCACATATTTTCTAATAATTTGTGATGATTGAAGGAACTTATTAAAATACGCATAAACATTATCAAACTTAGTAATTGTTAAAACATAATAGGAAATTTATAATTCACAAATTAAGGCAATGATATTATAATTTGATCATACAATTTTAAATTTTATAAAAAAATGTAATAAATGGAAGCATGATTTATTTTCATATTTATCAAATTAACAAAATGTCATGAGCCTCTTAGTCAAAAAAACATAACATTAAGAAATAATTAATGCATATAAAATTAGTATAAATTGTATAGAGTAATTATTTGTATGGAATTGTTATTATTTTAAATTCATAAGTAAAGTTAAATTATAAAATAATATTGATTTAATGAATATGAAATTAGTCAAATAAACAAAACCATATTTCTAAGCTAATTTTCTATTGATATGTAGCAGAATAGTTTAACTCAAGACCTAAAGTTTATAAAAAAATGTTACTCACTTTTGTGAAACCATTTTCTCACATTGCATTACATAAGCAATTCATAATATGCAAATTCAACTTAAAGTCTTGAGAATAAATTCTAAACATAATAAAATGTAACATAAATTCAGCACCTCAGAGTAATTAAAACAAATATTAATTGTACTTTATATTTATAAATTTAGAATTTCAATAATGTTTTAAATTGTTAATATGATTATGAAATTATCAAATGATAGTGATATCTTAAGTTAAAGAAGGTAGAAGTCAAATAAGCTGAATGTCCAATTCACTTAAATCTTTTAACATCTATTTTACTGAATATCTGAGTATCACACCATACTAATAGTTGACTGTCGCCTTAGTTAGACTTGTTGATCAAAATCATTACCATCATTTACATTCGGGTCCTCCATTTCTTCTTTAGCATCATTCTCTAGAGCAGGGTCATTGATTTGATTATGCACATTTAATGCTGGGCTTAATTTTGGAGGCTGAGCTGCAGGAGTTACTTTTGAAGGAACTGATGGATTTGGTGCACTTTTTGTTGTCAAAGCTGATTTTAATTTCAATATTTCTTTTTCTAACTCCTCTATCTTTTCTTTTCTCTCAGCTAGCTGAGTGGAAAGTGTATCTTTTTCCAATCTCAATGTTTCCAATGTTGCCGTCTTACTCACTTGGAGATTCTTCAAGCTCTGTAACTCAGTCTTACAAAAATCAAGATCGACTAAAGTACGATTAGCTTGAGTTTCGGCTTTTAAGACTTTACTGTTGTACTCGGAAAGTTGATTATTCAGTTTTATTTTGTCTTTTTCCAATGTATTCATCTTTGTATTGTAACCATCTCGCTGTTCTAGCAGGATTAACGACTCCTCCATACATGTCGTTTGGGTTTTTGAACATTGTTGCAACTGTGAACTTATTTCACCGACTCTGTTTTGTAATTCAGTCTCCAAGCTCCAGCTATTGATAAGTGAAAGGGTGAGTAAAATGCACATCGCAAACACGATGTACATAGGCCAGCGACGCATGTTTTCTATTCCCATATTAAAACAAACAAGAAACTAAATGCGTACGGTTTATGTACGTTACAAGAAAAAATATTTTTAGGAAACAAATAGAGAAAAACTCTTCATGAAAGATTAAACTTTGACATCCCATAAAAGTGTTGACAGCTTCTGTTTGATCAACGTCACACTGTAAACAGTCACATTTTAAAATATTTGTAGTGATTAAAAGCGAAGGATTTTAAGTTCTCTTTGTATTTCAAAAAACATATTTTAATTTATATTACATGTTAGTGAAGTGCGATACGATCCATTTGTTTTAACAAAAATGTTAACCTTTTGTCTTTTTACTTCATTTTTTTCTGAATCACACTGGCAAGAAATTTACTTGGTCACGTGACCTGTCTGTGTACCATAGGCTAAATTCTTCATCGACTTCTTTGGTTTATAGCCACGAGGTTTTTAACAATATTTCAATTTATCGGTGGAATAATAAACAGATACTTTATATCTGCAGTACAAAATGCCTCCCAGTAACCCATTGCCACCAAAAGAAAATGCTTTATTTAAACGAATTTTGGTAAGTCTTCTTGTAAACACAAAATTTGTTCGAGTGGCTTGTCATTCCTGGCTTATAATTCCAAATAAAAAATATTTCCATTATAAGTAAAGTTCGAGCATGTATTATATTTATTCAAATCATGATTCTATTTATTACAGTTTAAGTAGTAAACAGTAGTTTACCTTCCTCTGTTATTTATCTAATAAATGTAATAAAAATTACAGTCGGCCTTGCACTATTTGAGTGCATCTAATAATAAATATAGGTTAACAATTTCTATAATCCAAATGTTATTTTACAGAGATGCTATGAACATAAACAATATAAAAATGGATTAAAATTCGCGAAGCAAATATTGTCGAATCCAAAATTTGCAGAGCATGGAGGTGAGAGTTTGAAGTTTTAATAAACAAAGTGTTAGAATTACTTTAGCGGTTCAGTGATTCCAATTGAATTCGATGAATTTTGTTTATAGAAACTTTGGCAATGAAAGGATTGACGCTGAATTGCCTCGGTCGTAAAGAAGAAGCATATGATTACGTGCGTCGTGGTTTACGGAACGACCTGAAGTCCCCAGTGTGCTGGCACGTCTATGGTCTTCTACAGCGCTCCGACAAGAAGTACGATGAGGCTATCAAATGTTATCGTAATGCACTCAAGTGGGAGAAGGAAAATATACAAATCCTCCGTGATTTATCACTGCTTCAGATTCAAATGAGAGATTTGGAAGGATATAAGGTAATTTTATTTTAACATTAACAATATGCTATAAATTGTCAGTTCATTTATTCAGAGATTGTCCTCTACATGATAGGGCTTAGGCTGGTTACAGTGATATGTATTCTGCCCTTACACAAGGCATGTGCTAGAGAATGAGTTGTGAAACTATAACCAACTTTAATTCAAATGTGAAACCAGAGTGCATTCATTTGTTGGAGTTTTATTTGGACTTAAACTAATGTTGTAACTGTGGTTTGAGTTATATGATTGTGGTTTCTATTGCATAATCTAGTTAGATTTAATATATCGTAAGTTTTTAGTAGAAATATTAAATTTGTTATTTGATCTTATAGGCTGATTGGATTTGAAATGAATCTTAAATAAATAGAGGCTAAAAAGGCATGTGTAATTTTCCATATATGTTTTTTTTATTAAGTTTAAGGGTACAGTTAGGATAATTTGTTATTTAATTAATACATTGTGGACGATTAAACATTTATAATTGAATCAATTGATGTCTTTATTACAATGAGATGAATAACATATGTCTCTTTTTACATGAATGTGAATTATCCATTGTATTAAAATGTTTCTGTCATAACATCACCACTGAGAACAATATCATGTTGACAATTTTTTACATAATCTACAGTTTTTGAAATTACATCTGTATAATAAAACCATTATTTGATATCTATAGGTACAGTAATCTTAGCAATTGTGATGTGCGTATTTACTGTAAATCTTTACTGTCATAATATTTGTGTTAATTCATATTGTTAGGAAATCTAGATTAGGCTTATATAATTCTTTAATCCCTTTACTTGAATAAGCAGAATATTCTGTTGCCCAAGCTATGCCTACATTGTCAACAACAATCTAGTAACTATAAACAATTTCTTATTGGTTATTTTTAACATTTTCAGGACACAAGATACCAGTTATTTATGTTGAGGCCCACACAAAGAGCATCATGGATTGGTTTTGCGATGAGTTACCACCTTCTTGGTGATTATGAGATGGCAAATAGCATTCTAGATGCCTTCCGCACTAATCAGATGAAGGGACCATATGATTATGAACATTCAGAACTATTGTTATATCAAAATATGGTGCTGGCTGAATCAGGACAGTATGAAAGGGCCTTACAACATTTACAAAAGTTCCAAAGTCAAATTCTTGACAAATTATCAATTAAAGAGACCTCTGGTGAATATTATTTGAAACTTCGGAGGTAAGTAACATTTTAGTTACATTGTTCTTAAAAATATATTGAAAAAAGTATTGATAAAATTTTAAATAATTTTCAGGTTTAAGGAAGCAGAGGCAGTGTATGAAGATTTATTAAAAAGAAATCCCGAGAATGTAATGTATTATCAAAAGTTAATTGAAGCTAAACAGCTTAGTAAAGTTGAAGATATTGAGGCCTTCTTTGATGTATATAAGTAAGTTAACATTTTATTAAATGAATTTTTCCAATATTACTTAAAAAAACATGTGGTACAGGCAAAATTTGCTATTTATCTAATTCATATCGGTAATTTTATGTCAATAGTTACATTTTGCTAAAGATATATGAAATCTTATTAATATTATAAATTTTTGTATGCATGAATGGATGGATGGATGGATGGATGGATGTTTGTTAGAAGGTATCTCCAGAATGGCTGCACAGATTTCGCTGAAATTTGCCATAGATGTAAAACATAGCCTGGCACACAAAGGCTACTAATTAAGTTTTATTTTAATTCTGCCTGGGCGCACTTGGGGGCAACAACTAGTTGGTTATAATCTGCTTATAGCTGCGCAATTCTTGTAAATTAGAATTTCTTAGTAAATGAAAGATCGCAATTAGGCTTTGTATCAATATTTTGGTTTCATTTACTCAAGCAATTATTTAAAAAATTTCAGAAAAGAGTATCCAAAAGCAATAGCACCGAGAAGGTTGCAACTGAATGAAGCTCATGATCCATTGGTGTTTGAGAAACTTGTTGATCAGTATTTAAGACAAGGTTTGCACAAAGGTGTACCTCCTCTTTTTGTAGACTTAAGGTTAGTAAAAGTTAATGTATTAAATTAAGGAATATTTTGTTATATGACAGAAAAGTGAGATAAAATATAAAATAAGAGCATAAGGAAGAAGAAAATAAAACATGAGACAGTGTTGGATACAGATTTTTGTAAATCTTATACTATGATATTTTACTTTTTTTCATTGATTATTTCTAAATGACGCCTTGAGAAATTAGTTAAAGTCGAACCATAAACCTAAACCTAATATAGTATTTATCTAATTTCCAGAACTTTATACAAAGATCAAAGCAAAGCGGATACAATAGAAAAGTTAATATTACAATATATAGAGAATTTAAAGAAACATGATCGTTTCTCTTCCGATACTGAGGAAGACAAGTCTCCAGCGAGTGCATTGTTATGGGCATATTACTTCGCAGCACAGCACTTTGACCACAAGAAGGATACAGACAGAGCGCTACAGTATATAGATGCTGCGATAGAACATACACCTACGCTTATAGAATTATTTATTGTTAAGGGGAAAATATATAAGGTAAGAATTTTCTCATATCATAAGGTGACAAACGAGCCACCTGAATTCGCCGAAATAGCGAAGCGAATGTCGCCCATTGACATCTGTAATTGCAGATGCATTGCCTTTCTTATTCGAGTTAGCGTCACACAGGAAGAGACTATAACCCTTCCAATACGGCCACCCAAGTGTCAAATAGTTGTTTTCCTTTTCTATATTTTCCCCGTCAAATCAATTACTACTAAAAGGGGTAAAATTCTTTCCTCTGGCAAGTACTTTCATTAAAATTTATCTTCTGCGTGGCCTTGGTATTACACTGGCCCATTTATGCAACAGATGTTGGCGTTTACCACTGTCAAATGGATGAGGTATGATTGTGGTGGCAGTGAAAGTGGTGAACAAATATAAATGTTATTGTACAGCATGCGGGCGACCCAGTGGAGGCGTACAAGTTGCTGGAGGAGGCGCAGGCGATGGACACCGCTGACCGATATGTGAACAGCAAGTGTGCGCGCTACATGTTGCGTGCTGGACATCTCAAGCGTGCAGAGGAGATGTGTGCCAAGTTCACCAGGGAAGGTCAGTATATAGTTTTTTTTTTTATATTTTTTATTAGCAGATTTTTTTTGTAAATTTACTGATTCCAACTAAGCTCTAGGCTTGCGCTAGGATATGGTTTATGACAATAGTGGTATGGCGGGATTGGAACCCCCGACCACCTGATCAGAAATCCATACCTTGGGATTAGGCTATTAGTGCATTGTATTAAAACTCTTGTGTGATTTTTGTTTTGGTGACCGCTCCATTTTTGTGCTGAAGTTTCTGAATTCATACTCTTTCTTTATTAACTCTCATTATTAATTTCATCAATATTTGTTTCTCAGGTGTCCCGGCTACGGAGAACTTGAACGAGATGCAGTGTATGTGGTTCCAGACGGAGGCTGCTGCTGCGTACCAGCGCTTGCAGCAGTGGGGTGAAGCGCTCAAAAAGGCACATGAAGTCGACAGGGTGAGTTAACTCTGACTACTTATCATGATCTTATTTAGTTGGCATATTTCATTCATGAAGATAATGACTAATCTCGAAATATGAACTAAATACAATAATAATGAGCGTCGGTGGCTCAGGGGTTACGCATTTGACTTGCAATCTACAGGTCCTGGGTTCGAATCCTGCCATGTACCAATGTGTTTTTTGATTTACGACCTACATATGTGAAGGAAAACATAGTGTTACAACCTGTACATATCTGAGAAGAAATTCAAAGATATGTGTGAAGTTAACCAACCTACACTGGGCCAGCGTGGTTGACTATGTCCTAGTCACCTCTA